CCGATCTGACAAATCGAGCCAGAAACAACGTCCGAGACACGAGGCACAAGACTAGCGAGGCTACAGTCCCGAGAAGAACGATCAAACTGAAAGAGTGAGACTTACCGGCTCCTCCGTCGGCACTCGGACCCAGCATATTATGCACTCGATTGGCATACAAGACGAAGGTCGGGTACGGTATGTCGTATTTCCTGCAACAGAATGTCGAGAAGATTGTCTGAGAGAAGATCGACACGCGGCGAATGATCGACGAGGGCGAAACACATCTCTCGATCGGGCAACCTATCGCGTTCGTACAATATTTAACGACCACGCGCGTGCGATAGTTACGCGTTTTACGAGCAACAATAAGCTGTAAAAGTTTTGAAGTCGATCGCTCGCCGAAGCGAACAACCAATTGTTCTCTCTCTCTCTCTCTCTCTCTGTTTCAACCCATTTACGTTCTACGTAGGTACACAGGTTGTTGTTGCTCGAAACTTTCCTGGCGGATTGTTCGGATTTCACGAACGGTTGAAAAATATCTGGGAAACCGGCAGCCGAAATATACTTTCGTCTCCAATGTTATCGACGAATCTCTCTCTCTCTGCCTGTTTCCGCGGGGGAGAGAGGTCTATCGAACGTTTTCATTTGAAAATGAAAACGGTCCGATGAACTTTCTTAGTTTAATTTGTCCCGTCGCGCCGCAAATATCCATCTAATAATGAAATTCTTCTTGGCGCATTCCTTAAACGGAGGGAGGATGATGATGATGAGGAGGAGGAGGAGGGAACCGTCTGATGCGGACGTAATTCGGAGGATCCATCTCTGGTTAAACAGCGACGCGACACGGCTCTTTCTTTATCCGGTTAAACGGCGGGAAATTTCGTTTCGCTAATTTCGCGAGGATGTGCGCGAGGGGAGAGAGAATACGAGAAGCGTGAAATCTCGCGGAGACCTCGATCTCGGGGGCGAGAAACTGCAACTGTGCATTGTGGTGATGTAAGTAAGTAAGATGAACTTGTGTTTCAGTTACCTTGCCGCTTGACTCAAGGACAGCCCTTCCTTCAGCACGCTGAAGATCGCCTCGGCCATGGTCTCCGGTCGCCAGGACTTGAGCGGGCCGCGCTCTCGAAAGCGCAGGTTGTGCACCAGGCTCTGGTTGGTGTTCCAGCACTTCTGCCACATCGACTGCAGCTGATACTGATAGCTGTCTGCTTTTACGTTCACGCCCCCCGTGGAAAAGAGAAAAAGAAAACAGAAAAAGCACAGCGTTAGTGGATGATGAGAAGAATCTCGGGAGATGAAGTGGCGGCGAGAGCGAGATCAACCTCTCGATCGTTCTCGTCTCCTTCCTTTCGATTTTCGCTTTTCACCGTGACTTTGACCACACACAATCCAGGATATCATCGATCGAGAGGTTGACTCTGCGACTCGTTACACGCGACGAGCGGCGTGTAAACGGACACGCTCGCCGTTTCGATTCGCGGCGCCGTGCACTCGAGAGAATCGAATTGAATCGGATCGCTTGAGTAACGCGACGACGATTCGAATTCGACGAATTCGATGCAAGCGGTTACGGCATTTATAAATAGGGTAAACAACCAGACGTAAGTGTAAGTGGAGCGAAGGTGCGAGTATGGTTGTAGTTATGGTTCCTTTGTAGACTGCTTGGTCGAAGCGTACCTGCGAACAAAGTATTGAGAGAGGCAAGTTTGCGGAGGAGGCGGCGGGGATGCGGGTGGAATAAACGCTGCGTGTCGTGTTGATACGTTCACGTATCGATTGTATTATCGTTGCTACATACAATCATTGTAGAGTAAAAGACAGAAAGTAAGGAACAAAGAAGAGAGAAAGAAACGGAAAAGAGAAGGAACAAGAAGAAAATAAAAAGAAAGAAAGAATGAATATTCTTCTAACGAACAACAAGCTCGGATCGTTGATGAAAAATATCTCGCTTATGGTTAAATATATCGGTAATGATCGCAGGCTCGAGAACGTTTTTTTTTTTTTTTTTCTTTTTTCCCCTCTCTCTTTTGCCTCTCGAAGCGAGCGCCAGCGTACTTTACCGACTCGAATACGCGCGGCCACGCCACGAATGGCTGGCCTCAATTCGCAACGATTATTTAATAGTTAACTTATTGGGTTTAATTGAGCATCCTCCAATTTGACGATTAATACAATTAATTGGAAAGAAACGGGCGCGTGCGCGTGCACCGAGGCGCGCACGCGCGCATGATCGAGACCGCGCGAGTCGTCCGTATGTTTTTTTTTTTTTTTTCTCTCTCT